ATAGCTATTGAACATCCCTATTTATGGATGATTTGCCTATTAAACATAATTCTTCCATAGTTGTGTTAGGTTAAGGGTAGGTGTAGTTACGTAGTAATACATGTTAGGTCACCGTATTGGGAAAATCCCAGGGATATTTTTGTAATAGGACAATCCAGTCATGCACCACCATTTATGGGCAAAACCTTGTAGTTGCGTGGCACAACGGATCTTGAGCTATATAGGCACCCCCCCCCAAAAAAAAAAACACGGAACTGGAAAACATTCCCATGCCTCAATGATCATCCCACGATCCCCCTATATATTGATTCAAACATTTGAACAGCCATATATATATATATACTTACTTGATTGCGAGAGTATAGCCCGCCAAATATCGGGATTTCATACTGAAGGACGATGCAGATTTGGCATGCTCATCGACACCAGCATCTTCATGTATATATATATATATTCATTTATTTATTTATGTATGTTCGATCTCTAGATCATGAAACAAAACGAAAATCTATGACTCTAGGTCAATGACATGAAAGGCTCATGCGCAGCACGTGGATATAATGCCCGGATTTATATTGTCCATTGCCGTTCTGGGACATCAAATAGCGGATTATATAATCATTACCATGATCAGTGAGAAGCCCATGAAGAAAGAGACATCACAGCACCGCGTGTGCACCCATCACGAGCCGCCACGGCAGGAGCACTCTTCCATGGACGACCCTCTTCCATCGCTGCTGCGCCAAAGCATCCTCAAGTGGCTCGGCTTTCCCAGACGGTTGATCGGGAGCATGCATCGGGGACAAATCATCTACTGCTATATATACCCCGTGACCCGAACCATTGTCTATTGTAGCACGATCGAACTCACACCACCTGGGAATAGTTCACCTCACTCATCGATCTGACCCCTATTATAGGCATGGTAACGCCGGCGATCCTGTAATTCTTGAAGCCCGGCTTGACTCCATGTACATCATCAAAAAACACAGATGACATAAAACCAATGCGTGGGGTCCATGAACCATATGGCGCTGCATGAACTGATTTGTAAAAACCGCAGCCACCGTCCAAGCTCAAGCTCAAACCACCGAAAAAAAGAAGAGAAAGGATGACGGGACCCGTGCAAAAGAAGGTCCAGCTCCTGAAGCTCTTGAAGCGGACGGAAGGCCGCGTTAGGGCGGAACTGCGCAACCAAGGGTACTCTGCCCCAGGACCTCGCAGCTTATGCGGGAATGCCAACAGCTGCCCCCGCGTTCTGCGGAGAAGCGCAACCGGCAGACGCCGCAGGACCTCCGACATGAAATAGGAAACAAGAATGCCTCCGCACAGAAACACATCGATCCTCAGCCACATTCATGATGATAGACAACACTGATAACACGAATGATGCACAATCAATTATATACATCCTACGCGCCCAACACAGATTGCTTGAGCAAATAGGTTGATCACCGATGACCCGATGCATTTCCTCGGACAAAGACTTGAGAGCAGAGTTTTTGAGTTTTTGAGCTCTAAAAATAATATATATATATAATATATATATGCGCTAATGATTTACCATTCAATAGAAGAGGAACATGAAAATTACACCTAGATATGTATATATATATATATATCTAATCTAGCTATACCTATCTATATAATTCTAGACCCCCTGACCCCCTCCGGCAAATCGAACGAAAATCGCAGGAGGAACGCGCAGGGGAGCACCGGGAGGACCACCGTGTGTGGTACCTCAAGGGCGTGCTTCACAATGCAAAGGTGAAGGGCAGCCGGTGGAGCTTGCCCACCGCCAACACGTCCAGGCCGTCCAAGCCCAAGTACGCCAGGTGGTGGCATACTTGGAGAACAACTGAAGGAGGCCGGGGACTGTGGTTCCTCCAACATCAGGGGCCCGGAATCAAACTGACGAATCATTTTTTTTGCAAAAGGCAACTTGTATCTTGCATGTAACGAGACATATCCAACTTGCGAAATGCAATCAAGGTGTTTCAAACCATTAAGCATTGGTGTGCAAGTTCAAGACTGCTCATTCGAGATTCATATTTGGCAAGACTAGTTAATAGCCCAGTCTTTACATCCTTAGGAGAACCAAGGAATTGGATTTGGGTACCTCATGGTCGAACTTTCAGTGACCGTATCGTGACTTTCAAACTGGCCATGAATTTCATGCCATAAAAATAGATCTACCCGAAAATAAAGATTTTCTGATTTTCCATAGCTATGTTAAATTGCCAGAGGGTAGTGAACCATTGTAACCTACTGCACCCAGAAGAATGGTTCATATCCCTGCAGTTGTAGATTTGGTTGGATTGATGGCTTACGGTATTTGAAAACCATTGAAAAACACTTACATAGATGGGATATACTGGGATGCGCATCCAAGAGGAAGAATTCTTTGGGCTTCTTCTTGTATCAGTTCAATCGAAAAAGAGACGAAGAGATCTCATCCAAAGCGTGTTGAACATGTGGTACTTCCATGTCGAACAATGGACACTCAAATGACTCAAATGCAATGATCATCCAGTCGCATCCAATATTTCTGGGCTGGGCCTAAGTATTCCAAGCGTTTGGTTTTGGACGATGCCATAGTTGAACTTGGCATTTTCTGCCGCTGACTCGGGCTCTAACAGCACGGTGCAGGCTTGAAAACAGACATGTTGACAGACATGTGACCCTGTTGCTGTCGAGAGGATGGCAGCAATAAACCAGCCATATTTTCACGGCGATATACCCCTAAAACCCTGTAAAATTGAGGAGATCGTGGATCCTATTGCTTTACTAATATATATATATATACACTGTATATATAATATATTGTATGGATTGATGGATTGATTGTTATTACTATGGGTATAATATTGTATAAGATTAGTATCCACAATCTTGTTCTATAATTATAAGTGATACTGATATTGCTTTATAGATATTGTATTTACCACCTCCAAGAAAACTGGGATGATGCCCAAAAGCAATGTCAAGTCTCCGTTTTTAATATGTTTTCCTTGGTTGCTACATAGTATATGATTAAACGTATATATATATATACACACACACCAAACCATTTTCCCACATGTTCCCTAATAGTCTATGCAAAAAAAGACTCTGCCATAGTTTCTAAACCAACCATTTCCTTTCACCAACCATCACTTGTCCCAGCATTTTCCCATCCGCCATGAGCCAACTGAGCGCCGACAGCCTGGCCTCCGCCGGCGACGTCCCGCCCAAGACCAGTCCGACGAGCCCCTCCGGCGCACCACAGGAGCCGCCACCGGAGCTGCCGGATCAGCCGGCGGCCGAAGCAGTGCTGACGCTTGGGGTTCCCGCTATGGGGGATCCAGGTTTTCATGGAAAATCCCATCGAAAAATGGAAAAAAACTAACTTACCCCCATGAAACTTATAGGATAATTAGGAAAGCACCATAGTCTGGGCGATATTTGGGGGTACCGTGAATCCCTTGAGTTGTTTGGCAGCATGGAGATATTACTGGAATAGGTAGATATTACTGGGATAGGTAAAGGCATATGGAGATATTCACCATACTCATTTCAGTGAACAATGGGTAGTTCACACTGACTGGTGAATCACCTATAACCTAAAGGTAGCCATTAGATTCCATATTGACCAGACTGGGTATATCCCCAACTGACTGGGTAGAAACCAATCCTATCTAATCCTGGATTGTTTTTTTGGTGGATGTGTTCTAATATAATATATCTAATATTATTGGTGTATCTATAAATGGAAAATAAATTCATAACCATCCATAAGCTGCAAAAAGAATTATATTTTTTGTGGCCTATCAAAGCTTGACCATGATATAGTATATGAATACATGGGGGGTTCCTAAAATCGGTGTACCCCCAAATCATCCATTCTAGTAGGACTGTCCATTATAAATATGGGGTTTCTTAAAATGGAGGTACCCCAAAACCATAGGTTTCAAAGACTAAAATGGTCTAAGTTTGGATGATTTGGGGGCACACCCACTTCAGGAAACCTCGATATAACATATGAATGGGATGGTCGAAATTGGATAAAACATGAGACTGAGTGGTTAATACTAAAACAGACAAATGTTTATAAACATATTTTTTGATCCGAAGGATAGAATTAGCAATGATGTATTTCAGATATTATGAATACATGTAAAGTATCTGATATGTACATAGTGGGTATGTTTTGGCATGGCAGGGAATGTAGCGGAAAAGTAATATGTAGTATATATATATATATATATCTATTAATATACTATAGTATACTCTAATATAGAGTATGTTTATGTATCTATGATGAGCTTTAAAACTGACTGAGGATGGCTAATCAGTTATGTTAAGCAACTGAGGATTCAAGCCAGAAATTTTACAGGAAGGAATCCTGGAAAAAAATGGCAGAAGAAATATGAATGTCATGCGATATAGAATGGGCTATCATGGGAATATTCTGCCAACGCAACCGGGGATTAATCAGCCAATCTCTCCTTTGCGTCAGCGAACGCGGCTTATTTTAGGTGCAGAAATGGCACCCAGCAAGAAAAATAGAAAACTGCACACTTTGTGAATAGGCTGAATTGTGCAAGACTCGCAAAAGTCGATTGAAGACGTATTTGAAACTATACTATTATACTGCATCAATTGTGCAGCTTTTTTGGAATTAAATGCCCCCAAAACTCAAAAAAATGTCAGGGCTGGATTTCTTGTTTCGGTGGTTGTTTGGATGAGATAGCATGTAAAGGTGGCATGAACAATGGAGGATCCTCACATACTTCGCCCTAGAACAAAGAGACATGCTTAAGGTGCAAAGTGAACAAACTGTACATGTTCACAGAGATTGGGAAAAGCTCCGCAGAATTCGACGGATTTTAGGGTTTGTCATCGATTGAGTACCTATGTTATTTGCAGGGGTCCCTAACCTTGAGACATACCTGGTAGTGCTGGCTCAAGAGATTTGTAATATCTTCCTCTTTAGGGACATCACTCATCTGTGTGGTCAAATGGTTTCTGCAGGTGTTGGCCATACCGTGCTTCTCCAACCAGATGGCACTGTTGTGGCTTGTGGTAGCAATGCTGGGGGCCAGTGCAACATTCCAGATTTGAATGAGCTTTTTACATACACCCAGGTTTCTGCAGCGTATGAGCATACAGTGCTTCTCCGAAGTGATGGCCGTGCAATTGCTTGCGGAAGCAACTCGGGTGGGCAGTGCAACATCCCCACTTTGGATGACGGTGTTACATACACCCAGGTTTCCGCAGGCTTTGGTCACACCGTGCTTCTCCGGAGTGACGGTCGTGCAATTGCTTGCAGAAGCATTTTGGGCGGGCAGTGCAACATTCCCGCTCTGGATGAGGGTGTCGCATACACCCAGGTTTCTGCAGGCTTTGGTCACACCGTGCTTCTCCGAAGTGATGGCCGCGCAGTTGCCTGCGGAAGCAACTCTGGCGGCCAGTGCAACATTCCAGCTTTGGATGAGGGTGTTGCATACACCCAGGTTTCTGCAGGCTTTGGTCACACCGTGCTTCTCCGAAGTGATGGCCGTGCAGTTGCCTGCGGAAGCAACTCTGATGGGCAGTGCTATATTCCAGCTTTGGATGAGGGTGTGACCTACACACAGGTTTCTGCAGGCTTTGGTCACACCGTACTTCTCCGAAGTGATGGCCGCGCAGTTGCTTGCGGAAACAATTCTCTTCTGCAGTGCAAGATTCCAGCTTTGGACGAAGGTGTGACCTACACCCAGATTTCTGCAGGACATGAGCATACAGTGCTTCTCCGAAGTGACGGCTTTGCAGTTGCTTGTGGAAGCAACTCTGATGGGCAGTGCAACACTCGATGTTTTTTCAGAACCCAGGTTTCTGCAGGCTTTGGTCACACCGTGCTTCTTGACGTTGATGGCTTTGCTGTCGCCTATGGGAACAATTCTGGCGGGCAGTGCGCACTTCCAGGTTTGGATATGGGTGTGACATACACGCAGGTTTCTGCAGGACATGAGCACACAGTGATTCTCCGAAGTGATGGCCGCGCAGTTGCTTGCGGAAGCAACTCTGGCGGCCAGTGCAACCTTCCAGATTTGGATGAGCTTTTTACATACACCCAGGTTTCTGCAGGCTATGAGCATACAGTGCTTCTCCGAAGTGATGGCCGTGCAATTGCTTGCGGAAGCAACTCGGGTGGGCAGTGCAACATCCCCACTTTGGATGAAGGTGTTACATACACCCAGGTTTCGGCGGTTGCGAAGCGCCTCTGTCTGGCTTCGGGCAGCTCTTTTCGGTGGTGGGCTTCACTTGGACGTGTTGTTTGCTACTCAGTTGGTTGGAATTCTGTCTCGTGTTCAGCGCAGGAGGGCTTTGACTTGGTCTTCTGTGTCTGGAACGCCTGCTCGCGCGTTGAAGGATTGGCTTTGTTCTCATGGATGGATCTGTGACGCTGACTGGAAATGGAGTCATGCTTTGTCGCGTTCTGTTCTTGATTTTACTGTCGTTGATAATGCCGGTGCTCGTCAACATGTGGTCCGTACTGCTTGGCGCGCTTGGTGTCTCAACAAACATTGTCAATCCACTCGGCGGGACAATAATCTTGATTGCTTTGAAAACGGTTTGTTTCACAGAATTGATTGGGATGGTATTCGGAAATTTGCGGCTTCTGGGCCGGAGGCGCGTGCTTTGGCGACAGGGGGTTCTTTTTCTCCTGCTGCGTTGCACAGTGCCCAAAATCTTGATGTTGCTGACACTTGTATTTGGCCTGGTTGTCATGACGTTGGCAGTTTTGACCATATTGCTTGGTCTTGTCCTTGTCGTCCATGCAACATGGATATCCCGCCCAAGCCGGGTGAGTTTCTTGTGGCTCGGTTTGGGTGGGTCATTTCTCGTGTGGATGCTGACATGGATCGTGTTCATGCTTGGCTTGTTTTTGTGCAGCGAACCATTTGGGAACTTCGGCATGGCTCTTAACGTGCTATGCTGATCCCTGCATGATTTACTGTTGATGTCGTTTGCGATGGCCTGGGTTTCCCCCCTTTTGTTTTGGGGTTGATTACTGGCGGGTCTTCTGGTATTTGTTCAGGGCTTTTTAGCTCTGTGGATTGGGTGGCGGCGCTGTTCACTCAGTGCCCGTCCACGTGCGCTACTCATTTGGGGGTAGTTCACTAGTAAAGTTTCACACATACACACAGGTTTCCGCAGGCTTTGGTCACACCGTGCTTCTCCGGAGTGACGGTCGTGCAGTTGCTTGTAGAAGCATTTTTGGCGGGCTATGCAACATTCCCGCTCTGGATGAGGGTGTCGCATACACCCAGGTTTCTGCAGGCTTTGGTCACACCGTGCTTCTCCGAAGTGATGGCCGCGCAGTTGCCTGCGGAAGCAACTCTGATGGGCAGTGCAAGATTCCAGCTTTGGAGAAGGGTGTGACCTACACACAGGTTTCTGCAGGCTTTGGTCACACCGTACTTCTCCGAAGTGATGGCCGCGCAGTTGCTTGCGGAAACAATTCTCTTCTGCAGTGCAAGATTCCAGCTTTGGACAAAGGTGTGACCTACACCCAGATTTCTGCAGGACATGAGCATACAGTGCTTCTCCGGAGTGATGGCCGTGCAGTGGCTTGCGGAAGAACATTTGCATTTGCGGTGCGGCATGCTAGATTTGTGAATACGTGACACACGCTCAGGTTCTTTCAAGCAGATTTTGTGTCATGGACTGTTTCTCCAAGTCTATTTTTGTTGCGTTTCTGGAGTGTCTCCAATGCGTCATGATCATCATCATTGTTGTGGCACGTTTCCCGAATTTGAAGGCGCAAGAACAAACGAGTTGGGAATTCTCGTATACCAATATATACCATTCATTTTTTCCCGTGCACGCAATGTGTGATTGGAGTTTATTCAACGATTGGCCGTTTGGCTTTGCACAACATTCGCAGCCAGTGGCCAGTGGGCCCGACCAACGCCTGACAGTTGAGCGGTGGCTGCTAAGCACATGCTGGTTGGTGATTATAGCCAAATAGGATTATCATAATGCATTACAACAGTCCGTTTGTACTGCTGATTCATTTGTCACCTAAGTGTGACATCGTGTGACTCTCTGTTTGTTTCACATTTCCAGCATTGGAAAACAGGAAGAGGAGAGAAAAACCGCGGCCGTGGAATGTATTTGCACCGCACCGTGTTTATATTTCATTAAGGAGGTCAGGGGGGATGTGATGGGTTGGCTCACTTGTTTCACATGCCGTTCAACATTTAACCGCAAAAATGACAAGTAACTTGGCAGGGCAGGCTGTGATGAAGTTTAGGTTGATAGTGTGATGTGATGAAATGATGCATAACACATATTTATGTATGAACAACATGTTCATAGATTGTGATGAGACCAGTTTAATGTATTTGATGCTGTTGATTGTGATTCTTCTGCACAGTGAACTTCAGAGTATCGAACATCTACATATCTTCTAAAAAAAGGTGTTGAGCATTGCTGAACCCACCAAGCGGGACCCTCGCCCACTTATGTTTGTTGGTTGAGACAGCCACTGTAATACTGTAGATCTATCCCCGAGAAATCCAGCAGTTAGCACCCCAGAGCTTTTTAAACCAACGTAGCCGACATAAACTCTCAGTATAAATCCAAGTTGGTCCTTGCTAAAATCCCAATTTCTCATATTAGTTTCTTATAAATTGCCATCCCCTAACTAAGATACACACTGCCAGTCATCGGGGATTTTTCAAGACTACTAAGTTGCTATCTTCATCTTTCATTCCAAAATGGACTGGCAAAGCCCGAATATAGGACTTGGCTAGTTCTTACAACCCACTGACTAAACTGTTACCCTCCGGTGTCATTAAACATGGCGATGGAAAATCCACCATTTGTAGATGATTTTTCCCAGCTATAAACATCGATTAATAGGGGATTTCCCAGCCAGCCACATTTGATTTCCATGGCGTCATATCCCAGATTTCGAAAAATATCCCATTGTATCCCATTATATTCCTATACTTCCTTATTGACCATCTATTAACCATTGATTTCTATAACCCATTTTTTTCATTTCACCATTATCCACCATTTAGTTGGGGATTTCCCAGCCACGTGTGATTACCAGAGGGTCAATCTGTTTTTTTTCCTCTTCAATCCAAAATTTCTCATTTCAGTTCACTGGGTAGTTCACACTGAATGTTGAATAATCTCTGACCTTAAGCTAGTCATTAGATTTTTGTTGACCAGACTGGGTATATCCCAATTCTATCCCTAACTATCTAATCATGGGTGTAACATGATTTTCAGTTCACTGGGTAGTTCGCGGTGAATAAGCTATGAATAATCTTTTAAGTAACAAATTCCATACCCAACTGCTCCATGGTGCTGGAAGATTTGCCCAGATTTAGCGTAAAAATCACCCAGTTATGTAGGTAATTATAGATAGCCATAGATCTGGGCAAATTGTAACGACTTCACTGGCAACCTCACTGGAATCATGGTTAGATTGCTAGGAATCATCCCAAAATTGCCAATTTCAGGTTCGTGAAGTATTATAGTTTGCCCAGATATATGCATAGATATATGTATAGATATATCTATAGATACATTTTGCCTATGGGAATCCATACAATTATGATAATTTGCCCAGATATACGGAGCATGTGGTATATACCATGATATATACCCTCTGGTTATTTAACATAGCCATGGTATAGACGGCCCATTTATAGATGATTTACCTATTAAAAATGGTGATTTTCCATAGTTTGTTGTATGTTTCCCAGAGGTTAAACCTCCATTAATCACCATTAGATCCCATTAAAACCTCCATTTATAAGGGATTTTCCATGGCAAACTGTTAAATAACCAGATGGTAACCCATGAATTTCTCTCGACTTCGCCCTTCGGAAAGTGCACCTGTTGACCGAGGAAAGATGGACGCCGTCCGGCCTTGTACAAACCCACGGCCTTCGAGATCGAAAAGATGCGTTGCTTGGTCAACGTATTAGTAGAGTCTTTTTGTGGAGATTTGACGGGATTTTATGGAATTTGGATAGGATGTGTATGGGCTTTGATGGGAGCTTATGGAATTCAACGAATTTCCCAGGATTTTGATGGAAGTGTGTGGTAGTTTTATGAGGATTTCGTGGGATTTTATGGGAGATTATGGAATTTGATAGGATGTTTATGGATTTTTATGAGAGTTTATAGGGATTTGATGAAAGTTTATGCGGGTTTGATTGGGATATAAAGCAACAAGAATACAGTACTCGTAGGGATTTAACCAATAGATCTCGGAAATTCATGGGATAAAACAACTGCAGGAGCCAAATATAATATGACCTGCAGATGTGTAGTTTTGTAGAACTTGACCTTTGCCATTTTCATGGTTGTACTTATTGACCAGCTATATATTCAAACAATAAGTACAACCATGAAAAAATCGTTGGTCTTGAATATATTAGTACAATACATAAGGTCAAGTTCTACAATACTTATTACCATTTGTTGATTGAATCGTGTCTTGGCCGTGAGTCTATGGGTTTCTCCGGTTTCTCCAAGAATTTTGGGGGAACCGTTCTTCAAAAATGGCGACCAATTGGGATCACTCCGGTAATCAAACATGGCACTTGGAACTCCCCAGATAAATATTGAGTTTTCGATTGCCATGTTTGATTACCCGAGTGTACCATCTTTTTCAGCGAACGTCATATGGGGTTTGAAGCAGCAAGAATAGGGAAGTTCCCTCGCTGGGGGGACCCTCGCTACAAACGACATCAAAACGATAACTAGAGGGTGATTATGGGTGATTTGTTTTGCGGCAAACATCACTGCCAGTTTTAGGTTTATGACATATATCACGAACTAAATCACCCAGATTTGGTATGGGTCTATGATAGTCAAGAGCCCTTTTTTTCGGGTGGTTAAACATCCATAACTATCAGCTATTTTGATGTGAACTGAAGGGTACGAGGCTGAACTGACCCATTCCGATATTTTCATCATCGTAGGCTGTAGGCTATACTTCATTTTATTGTTCATAACCCACACCCCTCTTTTCACGAGGAGCTGTTTAACACAACCACCTGACCCCCTGAGAGCATTTCTCATAGGTTCTACACCGATGGCGATGATTAAGGTGCTGGTGATGGTGACAAAGACGAAGACCCCTATTGTGATGATGGTGAAGAAAGGAAGAAGGATAATATTATGATGAAGATGAAAATTGTGATGATGAAAAAGAAACCAGCAATCATAATTGATAACATAAAATCTTTCCAATGATACTGATAATTGCACAACATATAATACTACATACACCAAAAAATGTATTACTTCACGATTTAGGTATTTTCAACAATTTTGATGGGTACAACTGGAGAGTCTAGGTATATATCATGTTATATACCACATGCTCCATATATCTGGGCAAATTATCATAATTCTATGGATTCCCATAGGCAAAATGTATCTATAAATATATCTATACATAGGGTATATGTGTGTACTGTGAACATATGTCAACAAGAATCGCGATCATGATACCCTGACAGCCTGAGGAAACCGAGACAATGCTGCTGGCGACGACGACTGGGAAGATGAATTTAATGTCACTGGGCCAATATTGTAAGGGGATATTTTATGGGGATAATGGGATGTATATGTTGGGATATATGTACATATATATATGATTATATATGTGTATATATATAATTATATACACATGATATATAAATATATTATGTGTATATAAATATATATTATGTATATATATATATACATATATATATATATACATATATATAGAGAGAGAGAGAACCACTATTATTTGGGTTTGTCTGCCAATTTGGGATTTTCCATCAGTTATGGCACTTTTTGGGGTACCCGATTTTCCGCTGGGATGTTCATGGAAAGATCATGGCATGACATCCTCTCGTTTAAATTCAATGGTTGTACTGCAAGGACATTGGGCGTGTAATGTTTTTTTTGGATAGCGATACTTTTTTTTGTGGATGTTCGGAACTCCTGTTCATTGATGATTGGTTCGGGTTATACTTTCCAATACTGTTGGGATATATTGGGATTATTGGCTGATTATCATATCCCATGATACATGGGAATATTGGGATATCTTGATATACGTATATATATATACATTATTGGGGATTCTCAGAATCCATGAAAATATATCATCATATATCCATGATTGATGGGAAATCAGTTCTTAACTAGTCCTTTTTTCAAGGGATGACATGTCGGGTTAGTTTGGCACTCCTTAGGTTGAGCGAAACTTCTGGGTCACCTTCATCCGAAAGAACCCCATGCGGACACTCGGCGGAAGATCAGCCCATGAGGGTACTGTAGCGTGTGATAATTCATTTAGTAAATCACCAGGTTACTAAAAGGGGGTTGTCAGGGTTCTTTGATCTTTCAAATCGATTACTAACATTTTCCGACTAACCGATTTTTCATCAGCAAAGCTAATAAATCCCTTGTTTCGCCTTGTTTAGCATTGCACCCAATAGATAGAAGTGTTTCAGCGTCATCCCCTTGAGCGGCGAAACCTGGGATTGTTGCTCACTGCGAGTTCAGCGTGTCCAACGAGACATTTCTATGTCAGAAATGGTACCATCCTTGGGAAGTTTCTCAAACTAGAAATGTCCTCAGAGTAGCTTCAGCGTCTAATTCGCATTAAGGTACCATAAGAAATGGATTGACTTCGGAGGCACTCCACTGTACTTTCTGGCTGGTGACGGTCTTCATGGTCGAATCCCCTATGTTACCCTTCACTGGAGCGGGAAAAACCGAGATCTTTGGGAAGTCGAGATTTTGAAATTGGATCTCCACTTCTAGTTCGTGGATTTTCCATTGATTTTCCCATGAAAACTTCCATTTACAAAGATTTTCCCATGTTTTCCCCATGATTTTCCCATGAAAACCTCCCTTTACAAAGATTTTCCCGTGGTTTCCCCATGATTTTCCCATGAAAACTTCCATTTACAAAGATTTTCCCATGATTTCCCCATGATTTTCCCATGAAAACCTCCATTTACAGAGATTTTCCCATGAATTTCCCATCAAAACCTCCATGTATATACAAAGATTTTCCCATGGTTTCCCCAGGATTTTCCCATGAAAACCTCCCTTTACTTTCTGGATTTCCCAGGAACTAGACCACTGATGCCTCTGGAAATACATAGACTCCAGATCCCCTTGCACTACTTTTTTTTTGGTCTTCACTGCATGACACAACCTTCTCACGCCAATCCACAGCACATTTTCTAGGCACCGTTTCGCCCGCCTGTCAGAAAGCCTCAGGAAACCGGGCCAGAGAATTGACGTGGCCGAGTGGGGCGATGCCGATGCCTCCTTGATGGGCCCCAACGGGCCATCCTTCATCGGCAAAGTCTTTCGGGATCCCATGTCCGCCAAGGCGATGAACATTTCGGGCCCCAACTTCCTGACGTAAAAACTCCATGATTTTGAAAGGGGTAGGTTGAAACCACCAATTAGAGAACGGTATACACACACACATGTTTTTGGGTATATTTGCTAAGGCGATGCCTTGGTGAAGCACCAATATTTTCAGGGATGATATGTATATATATATATATATATCTGGTTGGTGGTTTGGAACATTGATTTTATTTTCATAGTTGGGATGATGATCCAATCTGACCTTCATATTTTTCAGGGGGGTTGAAGCCAGCAATTAGATAGGTATATATATATATACACATACAAACACACACACACACACGCACACACACACATATATATATATAAATCCCAATACAATGATGTGGTGAATCTAAACAAAACTGACACTTTCATTGAACAATTTGTGGATCACAAGACATGGGAAACCGGAAACCACTGAGCAAACAGTTTCTGACCCTCGGATGTTCGAAAACTTGCCCGCCCCCCCCGGCCCACCCCTCACAAAAATAAACAAGACTATATATATATATAATATTTTATATTTTATATAATATTGTATATAATATAACAATATATATATATTATCCATGTCATGGCCATTTTTTGTTTTAACAACCCAAATTTGTCTATTGCACATCAAAGAATACTCCAATTTCAGAACGTGAAATCCAGTGTTTATGCTGGCTACATCTTGTTACACTGCATCTTATTCCTGTTCATAAATGGCAAACATCCCATTATTCATAGGGTTTCAACCATCCTTTTGGTGGTGCATGATTTCGCAACCATCCACAGTATTATTGTCATTATTATTATTATTATCACTACTGTGATGTTCTGGCAATAGTGCTTACAAAACAAAACCCTCCAAGTCCAAGAACGGCTCAACGCACTTTATACCAGTGACATAGCTGGTAAATGCAACCTTCCCTCGGCCCGGCCTCAGGTATTTCCCAGTGAAATGTTGGTTGGTTAGTTTCAGTCCAATCACTAAACCATACATAACTATACTATAGATACATCTACCATAAACCCACGTGGAATATGAGTTATCTTAGTGAAATCCAATGTAAACCAACAGTGATACCTTTCTGAAATGAACCCACATATATTAGTGGATCATTGGTTCGGGTGTTAAACTATCCTTTAGATATTGGGGATTATCATCATCCATGAACCTGGAAGCCCATTCGAGAAACAACCTATATTTCATGGAATGATGTTGCTGGTTGTGAACATATGCTCCATGCATGATACCCTCCGGTAATTTGTTACATAGCTATTGAAAATAACCCAGTCGAAATAGTGGATTTACCCAGCTAGAAAATGGTGGATCTTTTCATAGTTTTGTATGTTTACCAGAGGGTATATTTGCCCACAGTTGGGCGATTTTGATGGTACATGTTGGTACCCTGTAATCTGTCAATCAAACCTGGCACTTGACAATCCACCAGTTCGTTCGATGATTTTCGGAAACAGGAGATCCCCAGCCATGTTGAATTACCAAAAGGGTTTTTACATACCAGCACCATGGAGCTAAATCCACCAATTTTGCCGGTGAAGTCAATTGAAGTCACCATTTTCGTTGGCAAATAGATCCTTTTTCATCCTGAAAAATCGTCTTCAAGCACCATTTTTTCTGAACAAAACTTAAATCACCATATTTTTCATAGTTCGATCGCCATTTTCGGCGTTTCTCCCCATTTGTTCTCCCCATTTGGGCGTTTTCCGCCAGGTGAAGCTGGTCTACGACGGCCACAATCGCTACGACTTCCACGCGGTGGATCTCTGGACGCGACCAACGGTGACACGACCTGATCTTGTTGGGTGTGGGTCGACGATTCGATGATTCGAAAGTTTCGAAATTTGGACTTGTTGTGTTTCCCATGACGGATCCATGGTGCTGGTATATGGGGATGGGTCAAAACCCTGGTACCTAGTGAACCCCAAAGTAGCTGGTAAATGGATGTTCATCCCACTAAAAATGTATCTATAGGTATTGACCCATACCCATATATGCTAACATAAATGGGGCTGACATTGATGGGATCCATGGAGCACCATATATAGCAGCACCATGGATCCGTCATGGGTTTGGACTTGTTCGATTTTTTCGATGATTCGATGGTTAATGGGGGTAAAACAATGCCATTTTTACCACCCATGACTGGGAATGGTTTATGCATACCACATAAAAATAGCGATGGCTGGGGGATGGTTTATTATTGTTTTATCCACATTAATGGATGTAGATTAATCATGATTATTAATTATCATGATATAGTGATGTAATATGGATTGACAAGGGTAATAATCAGGGATTTCATAATCATGATAACAATCACTTAGTGATATGATATGGATCAATAATGGTTGATGTCCTTCGGTAACATCACGAAAGGTAGCTCCAGAGGGGCTACCTTGAGTTTTACTTTACCCGTTACCTGATTCTTCAGGAGATTGCTAGTCATTTTAGTACCCCCCCTCCCCACCCCCCCCTCCACACCTCCCACGCACCCTAAGAGCAGACTCAAAACATTGTAATTTACAGTATTTTTGTTCTTTTCGGATCAAGAAACCACATTTTGCTACATGGTGAAACCTCCGTAAATACCAGTGTTTTTGCCAGGTGCTGGCCAAAAAACACTGCAAATACCGTGCTTTTTACTACCAGAGGCAAAAAACATCGTAAATACCGTGGTTTTGGGCTTCCGACCCGCCAAAAACATTGGTATTTACAGTGTTTTTTGCTCCGAGAGTTGCAAAAACACGCGAAAACACCACCGATTTGACGATTTTCGGCCACTACGGAACCGAGCAAAAACGCTGCAGGGGTAACACCAACACCGACAAGAACAACACCAACAGCAACAGCAACAGCAACAGCAACAACAACAACAACGACGACAACAACAACAACAACAACAACAACAACAACAACAACAACAACAACAACAACGCACAACGCACAACGCACAACGCAACAAACGCAACAACGCACAAAGCACAACAGCACAACGCACAACGCACAACGCACATCACACAACACACAAAACACACACAACACAACACACACACAACACACACAACACACACACACACAACACACAACACACAACACACAACACACACAACACACACACACAACACACATACAACACACACACACACAACACACACACACACAACACACACAACACACGCAACACACACACACACAACACACACACACACAACACACACACACACAACACACACAACACACACAACGCACACAATACACACACACACAACACACAAACACACACAACACACACAACACACAACAACATATAACAACACACCACAACGCACAACAACACACCACAACACACAACAACACACAACAACACAACAACCACAACAACACAACAACCACAACAACCACAACAACACAAAAACAACAACAACAATAACAACAACAACAACAACAACAACAACACACAACAACAAACAACAACAACAACAACACACAACAACACACAACAACACACAACAACACACAACAACACACAACAACACACAACAACACACAACAACACACAACAACACACAACAGCAACACACACAACACACAACAACACACAACAACACACAACAACAACAACAACACACAACAACACACAACAACACACAACAACACACAACAACAACAGCAACACACAAACACACAACAACACACAACAACACACAACAACACACAACAACACACACAAGAACACAAACAACACACAACAACACACAACAACACACAACAACACACAACAACACACAACAACACACAACAACACACAACAACACACAACAACACACAACCACAACAACACACACAACACACAACACACAACAACACACAACAACACACAACAACACACAACAACACACAACAACACACAACAACACACAACAACACACAACAACACACAACAACACAACAACACACAACAACACACAACAACACACAACAACACACAACACACAACAACACACAACAACACACACAACACACAACAACACACACAACACACACACAACACACACACAACACACACACAACACACACACAACACACAACAACACACAACAACACACAACAACACACAACAACACACAACAACACACACACACAACAACAACAACACACACAACAACACACAACAACACACAACAACACACAACAACACACAACAACACACAACAACACACAACAACACACAACAACACGCAACAACACACAACAACACACAACAACACACAACCATCAACAACAACAACATCAGCAGCAGCAGCAGCAACAACAACAACAACAACACGAACACAAACAATACCAACACCAACAACACGACCAACAACACCAACACCACCAACAAACCCAACCACACCAACAACACAAACAACACTAACAACACCAGAAACACTACCACCACCAACAACACCAACAACACCAATACCAACAACACCAACAACACCAACACCACCAGCACCACCAACACCACCAACACCACAACCACCACCAACCCCAACCACATCGCCGAAGCCTTTCAGTCGCTTTTACCAGACTCCCCTTCATATTTTTGGAAAGAAAATGGCCGCGTCGCTTTTACCAGACTCCACTTTATGTTTTTTTCCCTGCCCTCTCCCCTTCATTTTTTCTTCGGTTCCTTTCTTGCTTACCTACCTTTCGTGTTCCCCCTCTCTAGTTAAGATTTGATACGGGGATGGGTCAAAACCTATGAAATTACCAGCTGGGGGAATTAGTGATTGGGATTTAATAAATCATTAAATCACTGATTTAATAGAGATTTTCGAAATCCCCAATTGGTGATATGATTATATCCCCAATAATTATATAGTGATCGTGATAAAATTGATATAATGATATAACGAAATAATATATTATAGGGGATAGTAAGATATAATATAGGGGATATTAGGTAATGTCGAGATGATATTTGTGATAGATATTTTCATAGATATAATGATGTAATTATTTAATACTACAGATGGATAATGGACGTTGAAATTGTTATTTGGATAATACATGATATGGATATTGACCATAAATAGTAGATGTACAATAAATCTTAAGATTCTGAACGCGTCATAATGGTGATGTCTAGAAATGAGATGAGTAGTTATTGGGAATGGATGGATCATGTCATGGATAGAGATTAGGATCTCATGCAGTTTCTTTTATTCATAATCGATTTGTAAATCAGTTAGATTAATTGGATTTGTAAGTTAGTTGAATTAATTAGATTATATAATTGGATTTGTAAGTTAGTTGAATTAATTAGATTAATTGGATTTGTAAGCTAGTTGAATTAATTAGATTAATTGGATTTGTAAGTTAGTTGAATTAATTAGATTAATTGGATTTGTAAGTTAGTTGAATTAATTAGATTAATTGGATTTGTAAGTTAGTTGAATTAATTAGATTAATTGGATTTGTAAGCTAGTTGAATTAATTAGATTAATTGGATTTGTAAGTTAGTTGAATTAATTAGATTAATTGGATTTGTAAGTTAGTTGAATTAATTAGATTAATTGGATTTGTAAGTTAGTTGAATTAATTAGATTAATTGGATTTGTAAGTTAGTTGAATTAATTAGATTAATTGGATTTGTAAGTTAGTTGAATTAATTAGATTAATTGGATTTGTAAGTTAGTTGAATTAATTAGATAACTTGGATTTGTAAGTTAGTTGAATTAATTAGATTAATTGGATTTGTAAGTTAGTTGAATTAATTAGATTAATTGGATTTGTAAGTTAGTTGAATTAATTAGATTAATTGGATTTGTAAGTTAGTTGGATGATAACCCATTTCATAGTGGATGACTAATTGATTAGCAAGGTGTATAATCAATTGGATATCGTGATTAGTATGACAAAATACCATGTGTTTAGTAATTGATGAACTTTTAAAGGAGAATTTTCTTCATAGTTTTCATCTTTTTGGGTTATGATTTGGTGGAAATCCAATTACCTGGTTGGTGCTTTGGAACATGGCTTTTATTTTCCCCAATAGTTGGGATGTTGATCCAATCTGACTTTCATATTTTTCAGGGGGGGTGAAACCACCAACAAGAATTACCGTCTTGTTCGTCGTAAAATCATCTGGCGAAATCATCGAATTTTGTAAGTTCCCATGAAGATTGTGGAACCGATGTATCCTTTTCTACCTTTCTGGGGGTGCCTTCATATTAATTCCTTGGGATATATCGGGAATATCATGGAATATCTCTCAATAGATGGAATATATTCGGGAATATCATGGGATAATGAGAAGAAAAAAGTCCTCCATGATATTTGGAACCCCCCATGAAAATACGATGAATGGTTGATATGATTCATCACTATTTTCATGGGGATTTACCTAATATCCACTATGGTGAAGAAAATCCTGGATGTTTTTATTGGATGTCCACATGGTTATTATCTCCTAATATGATGAATAAATGTATACATGTTAATATGATAATCCCCAGTTTCCAAGAAGATGGACTTTGGGAAATGCCCATGAAAAATTAGTGGAAAAAATCATGGAACATAGTAAAAAGGGGATGGTATACGGTACATTCCTTAAAAAAACATCTAGCAGAACTGGGAATATCATGGGATAAACTCATTCTAAGTTTTAAAAACACCACTAAAATAGTAAATCCCCATGAATTCCCCTGAAAATAATGGAACATTGAACCTTTTCAAAATGTTCGAGCCTTTTTCCCAAAAAAATGTGCTGTTTCCCAAAAAAGAATCCGGATAGATCTTGCAGGCATAGTCATAGGGCATTACTTATGTATGAATGGACAATTTTGAATAGACTTGAATAGACACAACACTGTTAAGATACCATGATGAAAATGCGGCCCATGAGCGCGAGGACTTTTTTGCTGAGATCATTTTTGTTTGGTTGGGATTGGTTGAAAGGGAAATTTTCATGGATGGTGATGGGTTTATAAACCAACCTATGACTCAGGCACCTTGTGAACCTTGTGAAAGGATCCTGTCGCTCCTTTTGATAGACTCGACGGGGATACTACCCATATCTTGAGGATGGACTATCACAGGGGTCGGTTTTTATGTCCCTCGTTTTTGGGGATTTCTTTCAATCACCTTCAAGAATCTGGAGATGATATCTCCACTCCCCAATACTGTAGTTGGGTGATATCAAAAAGAATAAGACCTGGGACCCACCTGGGACTCCACTGGTGACATCACCGCTCTGCGGGATTTTCCCCTAAAAGGTCGAAGGATCCATCGAGAAGTTGAAGAAAGATCGCTATTTGTTCAAACCCATCCCGATGCGCCTTGGCCGAGGGCGCGCCAAGCATAGGATACTGTGCTGGGGTCATTTTGTCGGCGTGTGGAACTGTGCCAAGTGTACCAGGTCCATCATTACTGCGCCCCGTTTCAAGAGCGAGCCGCAAGGCCCGTTTCATGAGTCCCAAAGGAAATGCCAAACACCACCGGGTTTCGGAAGAAGGCATTGGTGTGGGAATCAGATAAAAGGTTAAGCTGTTCTTTGAATGTCTATTAAAGCCATGGGACAAAACAACATGATCGGGGGAAGTGTTCCTACGTTTCAGCCTCTGGTAACGTATCTATGGAAGATCATCATTTTTAACTAGGTAAATCAACTATTTCGACTGGGCCATTTTCAACAGCAAACTGTTAGTTTACCAGAGGATTGCATGCCTTCGGATACCAATGATATCCAATGATTCTCCAACTCTCCATAACATCGGAAAGAGAGGACAAAAACCCAGGGACAACCTGTGACGATTTCTGTGCTGCCCAAGAGGTAGTTAAGTTGGTAATTTGGGTATGGCTCAAAATTAAAGACATGGGGGCCCACAGGTTTAAATCTATTTTCAGTATTAACTGTCCATTTTTAGGAGTACCCATTCTTGACCCATGCTCATTTACAACTAACATAGCAGGGTCTATGATGTTTATGCTGATTATACGTTTATAATTTATAAGTAAAGGGGTTTATAAACCAACTTAGCTGGCTATGGGGCACCGCGTTGTGGGGAAACCATATTGACTCTGGAGTTTTTCTAGGATTCTAGGCAAAAGGATTTCTGGCGAGCTGTCAGCTATTCGCCGTGCTGGAAAAGCGGTATTACATCACCATTCGAAAAAATAGAGAAAACATGATGGTGAGAATATAAAAAATCCAGCGGTGTGAACCATCATGTTCCTCAAAAGCTATCATTTTTTTAAAGCCCTATAGATCTTATCAGTCTCAAAACATGAATTCACCTCCAGCATTTTGACTCCCAGGCTCTATCGCACCTGGATGTATCACGAATCCTACCGGCACCACAAGAACATCGATGCCACCTCGGAGGATGCAGGGGTCATCCGAGAAATCCTGAACTTCATGTGCATCGATGCGGATCTCTCAGCAGGTTGGGAGGCTAAAAAAAAAAGGCTTGAAACCATGGCGCAAGCGCCGGTACAAAACTTGCGATTTTGATGAAAGAATGGATAGGTATATAGCAGAAAGAATGGGTAAATAGTAAATATACTATAATTATATACTATAGTATATTAGAGTTATAGTTATAGCCTAGCACCAACTGGATGGATAGTTTGGTATTAATCAAGCTCCGCAGCCAAAACCTATCAACACCTTTGTTTTTTCTGACAGGGTGTCCAACTAAAGATTGGCAGGGAACTAAAGATTGGCAGGGATGAGCATCAATCATGGCTTTTCAGACGAAAGAATGCAGGATACACTTGGCTAGGAATGGGGTTCAACCAACAAAATGATGAAAAACTAGGATTTGCCACTGTTTTCTTTCAGAACGGGTCCTCCTGGGAGTGCAATTTTCACATGATTTAAGATGATATTTTGAGGGGTTGTACTGCACTCCCAAATGCACTTTTGCACAGCAATTTGACCAGAGTAGTTGAAATCGTGAAAAATCAGATTAAATTCAATATATCCCAATCAAATTGATTAAATTCATATACAGCCCCGCCCCCAAGACTTGACAAAACCTTGGAAAGACAAAAAACATCTTTATATAAACGTTAAACCGTATTTCCAGGCTCTTTGGAAGGGGCGAACCCCCCAAAAAAGGAACAAAAAAAAACATATTGGAAAAACAAAAATAACGGACAACTCCTATAGATGAATGTTTAAATGGGAAAATCAATGAACATCATCCACACATGGGCGATTTTCCAGCACGCCACGTTTGATTACCAGATAGTAACCAGTTTTAGTCATCAATCCTAAACAACCATAATAATCCAAACTGTACTTCATCACCTTTGGATGCTCCTTACTTTCACTCACGGCAGAACTTGCTTAGCCCTGGTGAATAGCTCACGTTCATCCGCATGGCTTAAGCCCACGCTGAACCACGAACACCAACTACGAAGCAGTGGCTATGGATCACGGGTCACCCATCTCCCCTAAAATATGGATGGTTCGGTTACTGATACTAATTTTATCAGCATTCAACAGCCCAACATATATTCATGGTTTAATGATTTCAATGGTCCATTTGTCCATTTCCAGTGAATCATCCCCTTCTAGTAACCATGGCCGGGGGCTGGAACGTTGCCCATCTTCCTATCATCATCTTTCTATATGACCGTCTATGACTTGAACTTGTTTTGTTTTTTTGGGTATATCCCATTTTCATCAATTTTCCAGACACACCCATATGGACAATTTCAATACTCAAAATGGCCGAAAAAAAAATACCCTCTGGTTATTTAACATAGCCATGGAAAATCACAATTTTTAATAGGTAAACTTAGTAAAAATGGGCCATCTATACCATGGCCATGTTAAATTACCAGAGGGTATTTAGGAGGATCGCCGGACATGGACCCGGCAGGTCGCTGGTCGCCGCTGGTGGCCTTGCTCCCAGCCTCCTTCTGCTGTGCGCTCACCTGCGACGAGCTATCGGTGCCTGGTGGCAAAGCCTTGTGACTAATGGGGACAGATGGTGATCTGAATGCCATGGAAAATTACTGTGTCCAGTTCTGGAAAATTTATATAGTTATATTCGCATATATATATATAGCTGCAGTATATTTATGAATTATATATATATACATTTTTTGTTTCCTGTTGCCATGAATGGCAAGTTGTGTCAGATTGGTCAAGAAATCTCATGATGGGGATCCAAGTGCCTTTTTTTGTTGCCGGTCACGAATCGTAAATGGCCCAACATTCAAACTTAAACCCAGTTAGATTCATGGAATATCCCCATGAAAATGGGATGAAATAGGGGTTGTACCCTCTGGTAAACGAACATAACTATGGAAAATCACCATTTTTAATGGGACAATCCACTATTTCGACTGGGCCATTTTCAATAGCAAACTGTTTGTTTACCTGGGTTGTACATGGCTCAAAAACTTGGGCCGCAAGGATCCGATTCCTCATACTGCGTAAAACGGCCCTGTTCCTGCGCCGTTTTCAGGTGGGTGCAGCTGTGGTCCTCACCTGGATTATGCAGAGGGCTGGGATGATGCTCAACAGCGCCTCGGGCCAGCGACGGCTGGATCCATCTAGAAATACCAGTGTTGAGAGCCATGATTGTAGGGATTATACCACCTGGTTTCATAGGAATTATATTATGATGAATTATGGACCAAACCACAATAGGACTACTTGGCAACCAAAGAGTGGAATGGGATGGGATATAGGGGTATTTTTTTCATGGTTCCATGGGGAAAATCCATGTTGAACGCACTTAAAAAAAATAATCGTGGTTGAAAGTAGCGCACCTTGTCATTTAACCCTCAAAATTCAGTTTATAATCAGACAGCATGTGAGGTTTTTATGCAGACAGCATGTGACTTAAGTAACAAGAATCGGCATTGAATGACCCAAATTCCTGTGGATTGAGCAGCAAAGATGTAGATTCGTTGGAAAGATAAGAAAGAACAACATGGGATTTGTTGGATTCCAAGAAAGACATCCAATTTTTCTGGGTTTTTGAACCAGAGAACTAGTTATTGGGATGTTTCAACATCCAACATGCGTGGATTTCCTGAAACAACGCAGGCTGCTTCGACCTGCACCGGATGACTGTTCGGCTGCCGAATATAGAGATTGATGGAATTCAATACTTGGATAGGTGGAAGGTGTTTTGTTTTACCTCGGGGATCCTTTGGGTACAATTCTGCAATATGTTTTTCTTGGATGATGGTGTGTACCCTCTGGTAAACTAACGTAACTATGGAACATCACCATTTTAATAGGTAAATCAACTATAAATGGGCCATTTTCAATAGCTACGTTAAATTACCAGAGGGCACTCTAAAAGATCTCAGGTGAACTTGGAACGCCGAGTCTTTGTGAGATTTCTATGGACAGAACGTACCCGTATGGAAAATCTGACATTGCTATGGAAAATCATGATTGTTGATAGCTAAGGCATCGAATGAAACGGCCCATTTTCCATAATAAACTATAGATGGGATGACCCTATAGAATGGGATTTGGATGAATTTGATGGGATGACCTCGCCCCTTGCAACACTGGTTTTTATGGGGAATTGGAATGGGAAATCAAACTTCAGCTATTTTCAGCTTAGCTAGTTGTTATAATTTAGCCAGATTACATAGTAAATTTGATAGATTTGAAAAGCATGATTGACACTCCAGTCAGCAACTATCAGCATGTTTCATAAAAGAATGATCTGGCATTTGGAATGCCACTCAACCATACCCTCTGGTAAACTAACATAGCTACGGAAAATCACTCTCTTGATAGATGAATCATCTATATATAATGGTCCATTGTCCACTTCTAGTTTGGTTTACCACATCGTTAAATCATCCATTTCTAGCCATTTCATCTATAAATGGTCCATTTAATCGATAAATCATCTATAAATGGCTGAGGGTTTGCTCAAATCATAGCTATGGAAAATCACTATCTGAATCGATCTTCTTTTAGATCTTTATCATCTATTCTAGTCTATAAATGGTCCATTTTTTTTTCCATTTCTAGCCAATACTGGAGGCGGTCCATCAAATCAGGTCAGGTCGTCTGGTGCATCTCAGGTCCCGAAAGATACAAGGACGTCTGGGCTCATGGGATGGGAAAAATCCCAATCATTTGAGCTCCAAAAATGATGGGAACCAGCATATATATATATATATCTCTTCAATATATATATATATATATCTCTTCAATATATATATATATATATCTCTTCAATATATATATATATATATTATACTATGTATATACTATGTATATATACTATGTATATATACTATGTATATATACTATGTATATATATACTATGTATATATATATACTATGTATATATATGTAAATATTGGTTGAGTAAATTCCATGATCATGTGATATCTTGTGATCTCATGGGATGAAATCGAGACCGACTGGGACAGCCTAGTGGGATGGGCCTCAGGTCCTGATCTGTGGCGCTTTGTGGAGGGTAGGAGGTACCACAATCATGGTAATAATAGACTAATATTTGTATTTTTGCTATAGTACTTTAATATATAATATATAATATTATATAATATATAGACAAGTATATGTATTATTAAAACTATAGATGGTACCTGGTATATTAGTAAGTATAAATATATATTTATAGTAATATATGTATGTATATATAGTTACTAATATTACTAATATTACCATTACTAATATACCAATTATTATGAATAGATGGTAGATTATAGTAACTATAAGTATCATTAGTATCTGTAGTATAGTGAATAGCCATAGTGATACTAGATACTCATAGTATAATCCCATCATAATCCCATTACTAATCAGTAATAGTTGAATATAGGTGATGATTACTGAATAAAGACTATTAGCCCATAATCATCACATAGACCAATCAGTACTATACAGTGACTTGCCATAGTACTAATAGATACTAATAATGTATCACGATGGAATATATAATCATAGTCAACAGCCATAGTGATAATCACCCAATTACTAATCAGTACTATAATAATGATATTATATATATACCCCATGGGAAACAGGTGATTAAGATTGATGAAGACAACACAATGTCTATTTGACCAAGTAATAGGTGGTATGCCAGAGAACCATCCCATTACTAATTGGTGCTATGTATGTATCCAATGGCATTTCCAAAAAGAAGAACCATATTCTATTATCGTGTTATAGTTACCTCCCCAAAGATAAACGCCTGGGTTATGAAGGGCTATACATTGTATCATTATAGTGAGCCCAATCACCATGGTACAATATATAATCGTAACTATGATTATTATAATTGTATATGGCTATTATACAACCATATTATTGTATCATTATATTATAGTAAGTATGATTGTAATTGTATATTATAGTAACTGTGATTCCAATGGTTGCATGTTAATCCCAGTTGGGATTCATATATTGGAATCACAGTTACTATAATATACAATTAATGAATATTTTAATGAACTGATCTATATTTTTTAATGTGATTCCAATGGTTGAATGTTATTGATCATTTTCACATGAATTCCCAACGCCGGTGAAAAAATCCCATTATTTCCCGGTTTGATCATGTCTTGTGGCTTAAATCCCACATGGTCCCCACTAAATGTGGTTATTTTTCCAGTTATAATACCACTAATATTACTATGACATTACCAATTAGATTATAGTAACTATAAGTGATATACCAATGGTAATTAATATAGTAACTAAAAATTGGTCCCACATAGATTTTTCCCATCTGAGGAGCTTCGTTTCTGGCTGCTGCTGCCACGCTTGGCCTGGATGGCCTTCGTGATTTGGCGCGCCGTGAGCTGGATCCCGGACGCGGTCGCCTTGAACATCATAGGTGCGCGGCGTTGCCGCGGGAGGATCCTGGCTGAGTGGTGAAAAAAACCATGTAGCCTCTGGGAAACATACAAAAAACTATGGAAAATCATTAAAAAAAGCACAATTTTTAATAGGTAAATCAACTATTTCTACGGTGAGTAATGGTGATTTTCCATGGGATTTCATGGTGGTTTAATGGGATCTAATGGTGATCAATGGAGGTTTAACCTCTGGGAAACATACAACAAACTATGGAAAGATCCACCATTTTTGATGGGTAAATCAACTATTTCTATGGGCAATTTTTCAATAGCTATGTGACAAATTACCAGAGGGTAACCATAGTTAGCAGCCATAAACATAAATGGGATAAACTACTTGGGAGACTTGCTCACCAGGCTTAGGAACTAAGGATGATCCTGCAAACTGGCAGTTTACTGGAGGCTGCCAAGAACCATGGTTTCCTGCAAACCAACAAAATGATGATGGCAACGGTCCTGATCGAATTGCTTTGGAACATCCTTTTTCTCTGAAAATGTGGGATCTACATATTTAAAAAAAAAAACAATGGGGAGTCCAAACTTTTCAGTTTCACAGCCAATTTGTCTTTGATCAAATCAGAATGACCCCATCTGGCTTGGCTGATTTTCCGGTGCTGACCAATGACATTTTTTTGGGGCTGGGAAGCGAGGAAAAAAGATGCATAAAGATCCACATAAACATACAGGATGGTGCACCCCCCAGTTATAAGTTGGTTTGTAAACCCCATTAACTATACTTATATCTACCACAACCATAGTTAAACAACTTATAAGATAACTTAGCTATCTTGGGGGCCCCATCCTGTATGGTTTAGGCAACACTATTTCTGGGTCTGTCTGAAAATCGAGTACCCATGGGTACCCTCATGAGTTCTCATCATTTCCCTGAACAAAAAAACGCCCATTGTTTCAACTCAGAGAGATGATGGGGCAACAAACGAATGGTAAAATAAGTGAAATTTACTGATCCAAAGATTGTGCTGCCCACTTCTAGCAACTACTATGTCACGATGTTTATTTCACCATTCATCTATCCAGTCCCAGATTAGATCTTCGTTCTGGAAGATCTGCAGTTTTCAACCCTAGGTTTGGATTGTATCTTATCATCATGGTGACATCTCCCAAGATGGATGCTGGCTCCCCCCCGTGAAATATGTGTTTTTTTGTTCAAAAAAAAACGACAACTCGCTATGTCCGCAAGCCGCAGCGACAAGTTGGAGGTAATCTCGGCATCTTTTTGGAGGTTAAACCCAACAATGACATGTCGTTGGTCACAAACTCGTTGAATTTCCAATTGAAGTGATGATTTGATCCTTAAGATATGAAGGATACTTAGAGTTACTTGGGGCTTCATCCCACTTAGTATATATATATGATGATTATGATTATTATTCATTACTATTATGATTATTATCTATTATTATTATTATGATGATTATTATTATTGTTTATTGTTATTTATTATTATTATTATTTATTATTATTACTATTATTATTAGTAGTATTACATACTGGTATTATTATTATTTTTATTATTTATCATATTTTTGTATATATTATTATAAATTATATATGGGGATTCTCAAAATGGTGGATCCCCAAAACCATGGGTTTCAATACTAAAATCCATCCAAAAAAAATGGATGACTTCGGGGACCCTAAACCAGTGGGATCCACATCCATGTAGTTCAAGTAGGATATCCTTCGAAGTAATCCATCAAGCAAATGGGTATAAACAAGCCCATCAACCGTGAGTCATATTGTTGCTTAACATATATATATATATATATACATATCACCATTAAACGAATATAATATATACATATATGTATATATTTATGCATATATGTATCTGTATATGTGTCTCCCCGTAAAATATATTCTGATGATTTTTCCACGATATCTCCATTTGTTTTCCGTCAAGGCACCAGCAAAAAAATAGGTGGTTTCAACGGCAGGCCTCATTGGTACCTTGATCTTCTGCTTGTTGGACCTTTTTTACGGAGACAAGGAGACCTTTGCGAAATATCGATTGAGCTGTAGCTATGAGATCCTGAAGACCTTGCCCAACCGAGTCTTCGTGTGCACCTGGGATTCGCACTTAGCCGATTGAAGCAGGGTTACCGAACTGGATATCAACGGGATGTGGCGAGGTGGAAACAGGAAATCTCTAGATACCCATCCTATGGAATTTTCTTGGGTTACATCCTAATTTCAGGTGAGCATGGTGAGTGGCTGCTAAAGGCCGATTGATGATCAGTTTGGGGGTTATACTATGTTATACTATCCTTCATATATACATAGGGGATTGTCACACTCCATGAATTGGGAAGTCGGTTCTTAACCAGTCTCCATATTATTTATGATAGTAAAGTAAAGGGACGACGTTGCGAGTTTTGAACACTGCTCAGTTGGCTGTCAACATTCATAAACCATTAAACTAACAGGAAAAACATCTAAAAATTGCCAATGTTCTACAGGAACCTGTTAAAATACGAGAAGGGTTTATAACTCTTTGTGGGAGTCTTCCTCCGCTTCTACAACGAGGGTTTCCGAGGTTGAGGGCTTATTTGTTGGGAGTAGCATCAGTGGAGCGTTTACGCTCATCGGGGGAGAGGATTTGTGTGTGTGTGTCTGAAAATGGGGGGGATACCCGTGAAATTGCCATTTAATTGGGAAAACTATGATAAACAATTAGAATAGTTAAATGTTCCATTTATCATAGTTTTCCCAATTATATGAATGATATGGTTCCCAGTTATCATTTCAAATGACCCATTCAGATTTGGCGTTACCCTTATCATTTGGTGAATTGGTTGGTGGTTGGTCCGTTTCCAATTTGGGACGATCCCCGTTGAATGTCCATGTGAGCAGTTAACAAAAACAGAACAGTGGGTTAATGGTTAAGTATAACTGTCCCACTCACATGTGTTAGGTTCATGAATACTACACATAACTGGGACATGTGACTGAACTAATTGTTTTAATAGTGAACCTAACACATAGTCTATCTGAAACACATAATATAACATAATATTGTGGGTTAATGTCCATGTGAGTGATACTACCCAACACATACGGTAGTATATCTCATCATCCCTGAATTCGGAAGTCTCATGAACCAACCATTCCACGGAACTTGGCACCATAATCACCATACGCCCTTGGGCCATTGGGTCATTGGGGAATATATCCCAAACCAAGAAAATCAACTGGGAAGCCTCATGAGAAAATAAATAAATAAATAGATACTGATATAATAGATATCATAAATAAACAAATACTGTAAATAGATAAATATAAATCAATAAATAATAGATAACAAAATACTCAAATGCTGTAAATATATCATATGCACACACACATATATCCATATAAAACTCATGTAAAACCCATATCCGTTCTGGCGCCCCGAGGTCGCCGTGTCGGTGCGGCGGACCTGGAGAAGCTCTTCGGGGGCCGGGGCCGCGTGCATCAAAACGTCACCGGCATCGGCGCCTGGGCACGTCCCTGGGCAAAAAGATGGGATTTCATGGGATTTCATGGGACGTATTGTTGATATGTTATGGATATGTTATAGATATTATAGATATTATAGATATTATAGATATTATAGATATTATAGATATTATAGATATTATAGATATTATAGATATTATAGATATTAGGGTTTAATATGGGACATGGTGCTGTTTTGGGTGCTGTTTTAAAATCAGGGTTTAATATGGCATCTTTTTTTGGAGGGGAAGTAAGGGGACAGATGTGCAAATAGAGAAGGGATTTTTTTCCTGGATAATGTTTTTTCTTCCTGAAAAAACTGGATCTGAGAAAAACACCTGAAAGAAGCCACGAACCCGAATTCATTTTTAACATGTTACGGAGAAGTGAAGTCATAGACAGCTACGCACTTTTTTACCCTGCAACAGCTGCGCAATAGTGAAGTCGTAAAGCTCAAAGCACCTGACGGATGAATAAGCGGACAGTATAATACATTCACCTATGATGCAACATCACTGTGGGTCACTACGGCGAAACAGATGCACACAGGGTTTGCGCAACCAAAGCCCGCCTGCGCACGCAGCAGCGAGACCCCGTGGAACCAGGCGGCTAATCCTCCGCATCTGCAGCAAAGCCCACCAAATTTGGGCAAGTGGCTGCAAAGTACCTAGCAGGTCAAAGGTCACAGAAAAGACTTGGAAACAAGTACGAGTTGGTTGGAAACATTGCAAAACTACCACCTCAGGCCGTTCAACATGAATAAGACAGACAAAGGTCACTGGATCAGCTTCGAAGCAAGAATTACACAGTCTGTTCCTTTCTCTTCGGCAGGAGTTCGTTGGAAACATATGCCTCTGCCATCCTTACAGCTAGCTTTTAAAGCGGCTTTCCTTTCAAAGCACGCAGCCGTGGCACGGAGGGCAAGCCGTCGCTCGCCATGCACACTCAACTCACAGACCCAACATGCACCGTTGCAAATTCAAACGCCACTAAGCTTCAACAAATCTAATTATAACCACATCCTACTTTCAAATTCATCCTGACACTCTCATGTGCCCAACCGACCCTATCAAGAAATTGGGCATGCATTTCATTCAATGTTGTTCTTGGTTATATTTTTGATAATGTGCACATCTGAATGTACTGCTGTGTGACATGAAAACATTTGTGACTCTCTGGGCCAAAACTTCGCACTCCACACTCCTCCACACTCCTCCACACTCCTCCACGCTCCTCCACACTCCTCCACACTCCTCCACACTCCAGGCCCCACGCTCCACACTTCGCACTCCACACTTCACACTCCACACTCCACACTCCGCACTTCACACTCCACACTTTACACTCCATACTCCATACTCCATACTCCATATTCCACACACTTCACACTTCACACTCCACACTCCACACTCTCCACTCTACACTCCACACTTCACACTCCACACTTCATACTCCACACTCCACACACTTCACACTCCACACTTCGCACTTCACACTCCACACTCAGCACTCCACACTCTCCACTCCACACTTCACACTCCACGCTTCACACTCCACACTTCACACTCCACACTTCACACTCCACACTCTTCACTACACACTTCACACTCCACACTTCACACTCCGCACTTCACACTCCACACTCCACACTCCACACTTCGCACTCCACCACTCCACACTTCACACTTCACACTCCACACATCACACTCCACACTTCACACTCCACACTCCCACATTTCATATTTCACACGCCACGCGTAATGCACTTTCACACGTCATAACACATCACCACTCCACACTTCACATTCCACATTCCACACTTCGCACTTCACACTCCACACTTCCCACTTCACAGTCCACACTTCGCAATCCACCACTCCACTTCACACTTCACACGCCACACTTACACTCCACACTCTCCATTGCACACTTTTCACTCCACACTCCACACTTCACACTCCACACTTCACACTCCACACTCGCCACTCCACACTTCACACTCCACACTTCACAGTTCACGCTCCACACTCCACACTTCGCACTCCACACTCCGCACTTCACACTCCACACTTCATACTCCACACTCCACACGCTCCACTGCACACTCCACACTCCACACTTCCACACTTCATACTTCACATGCCACGCGAAATGCACTTTCACACGTCACAGCACATCACAGCACATCACCACTCCACACTCCACACTCTTCACTACACACTTCACACTCCACACTTGACACTCCACACTTTGCACTTCACACTCCTCACTCCACCACTCCACACTTCACACTTCAAACTCCACACTTCACACTTCACACTCCACTTCACACTTCACCTTTTCTCACTTTTCCCATAGACACCGCGGCGACGAGATTAGAGAACCGCGGCACGAAAACGACCCGCAAACAGTCCACCACCCCCAGACCCCCAAGAAAGAAAACAAGAACCCTTCGCTATGCATTCGGGAAAAATCTCACAATAGAGGCCCACCCCCACCATTTGCAGAATATTCAGCAATTTTTGAAAAAACTCACAATAAGGTCCCATGACCCTAATTGGTATCCAACATTACCTATATTCATAGCCCAGAAATGACCCATTCATCTCACTGGCTCGAGGAGATATGGTGGTGATTGCAGAGATCATGGGATCCTCGGCCGCAAAACACATCGTCATATTTTTCTTTCTCGTTCGGCATTTTTGTTGGAGGTTACTATCTATACATATATATATAATATTTATTTATACATTGTTACAGAATGGTTGTTTTTTGTCATTATATATTTGGTATATATATATAATATGTATTTATGTATATGTATAGATGGGTTCATTGATCGTGACTGATAGGTATGGTTATTATATGATACCGGGTTGGGTATGATATATGATTCTACTTTTATTACTAGAATAGCTTCAGTGTGTACCGCTATTATGCACTGTCCACTTCGAAAAAGATGTTCCAAAACATGGGATGGACCGGAGATCATGCAGAAAATGAGAAACACATCACCATTTCAAGATAACATAATAGTTGGAGTTTTTTTTGATGGATAAATTGATAAACATATGGAACTAGAACATTATCATACATATGAGATAGATGCATGAATCTTTGCACTCTGATCGATACCGACTTTCTGACTGAAACCGAGTTGGAGAGCGAATCATTGAAAGCTAAGTGCCGCAATCCCACAACAACAATGGGAAACGATGAAAGAACGGTTCAACATGAATTCTCAACTATCATGTTTTTGAAGGTGTTGTCATTTTTTGGGGGGTGGATTGGTTCCTGTGCACGGTGAATGTAATGTACTGCAAATCAGTTGGCGTTTTCAGCAGGTTTCATGGGGTAAACTGCATGGTTTTGGTAAGAACGCCGGCGATTCTTGTTAATCACACTCGTTGCATGGTTATATGATGTTATATGGAGGTCCTTTGCTAGTGCCCTTATTGTTTACCCGGTTTTGAATCCATATTGAATATTGAAGACCGTTGGTTTTTCTCAGTGACTTTCTGATGCGCCACGCTCAGGATGTATCTTCGAACTGCGACCTTTCAGTCAAAAAGATTGGCACCTTGGCTGCTCGAACTATGGGCCCTTAACTCAAGCCGCTGCGTGACGTCGATGTTTTGATTTTCTAAGGCGACCTATACCAAAACGGCCGAGCTATTGATGCCAGATTGGGTTTGATTATCATTTTCCCCATGGATTTCAATGGCCGGAACTTGGGGGGGCCCCAGGGCCCCCATTTTCAGGGACGGCCATGTTGTTCTGTGATTTTCCCAGCGGATGCGAACGGCTTGAGGCCTTGCTTTGACCCGTACTATTCATGCAGGGTAAACATTTCTTATGTAAAATAAGTATAAATATATACGCATTATATAATTCAACATTTGTGTTTTAGAGAATACTGAACATGTTGCCAACTGATGATTCGATGGACAAATTGTAATATACATGCATACCGTACTGTATGTATATATATATACAGTATATATAGTACTGTATATGTAATAAAACATGTATCTAGCCCACCCCTTTTTTAAAGGTACGAGACCACCCTGACCAGCCAGGAATCTACTGATCCAGCAGAGCAGAGGAGACGATAACGCCAGGCCAAAGGGTATCCCACCTGGTAGCCAAACGGTATCCTAAGTTATAGCCGGGATTTATGATTAATACTAAAAATAATCGAAGGAAGTTTAGAAGTCAAACTTCCGACAATATGGAGAGATGAAAAGCAGAGCAGGGAAGAGGCAGAGAGAAGAGAAAGATTAGAAGAAAGAAGAGTAGAAGAGAAAGAGTAAGAAGACAGATGATGCAGATGCGCGAATAATAAAAATATGTTAATTAAAAATATGGTAATCATATGGCAATAGTATGGTAATAATATGGTCATCATATGGATAATAATTTGGTAATCACATAATACTAATAATATGGTGTCATATAGCAATCATATGGTAATCATATGGTAGTTATATGGCAATAATATGGTAGTAATATGGTAATCATATATGGATAACAATATGGCAATCACATAATAATAATATGGTTTCATGTAGTAATAATATGTTAATCATATGGTGATTATATGGCAATAATATGGTAATAATATGATAGTCATGTGGATAATAGTATGGATAATAGTATGGTAATCACATAATAATAGTATTAATATGGTCTCATATAGTAATAATATGGTAATCATATGGCAATAACATGGATAATGATATTGTAATCATATGGTAATAAAATGATAATATAATAATAATATGGTAATAATAGGCGTGATAATATGGTAATTTTATGGTAAGGGTATGGTAATCATATAATAATATGGTAATCATATGATAGCAATACGGTAATCATATGATATTTTTTCATATGATAATAACATGGTAATACTATGGTAATAATATGATGATAGTATGGTAATCAGATGGTAATACTATGGAAATCATATTATATTTTTGTTTCATATGGTAATAATATGGTACAAACAACATGATTATCATATGATGATAATATGGTAATCATATGGTAATAATATGGTAATCATATGGTAATAATATGGTCAAAATATGGATAATAATATGGTAATGATCTGGTGATAATATGGCAATCATGGTAATAATATGGTAAGAATGTGGTAATCATATAGTAAACATATGGATACTAATATGGTAATAATAGGGCAATAATATAGTAAACATGTGGATACTCATTCGGTATTCATATGACAATCATATGGTAATAATATGGTACAAACAACATGATTATCATATGATGATAATATGGTAATCATATGGTAATAATATGGTAATCATATGGTAATAATATGGTCAAATTATGGATACTAATATGGTAATCATATGGTAATAATACGGTAAGATTATGGATACTAATATTGTAATCATATGGTAATAGTAGGTAATTTGACCCATCTCCATATATTAGGGGTAACTCGAGGGTAAATTATAACGGCATCACGCCGCAACCTACCTGTAATGATGGTTATGATGGTTGCTGTAATGGGAATGATCCAATATAGCCGAACTTTTCAGGCGAGTGAATTATTATCATTTACCCAGATGTATTTTATATACAGTTGGTATCTCGAGACATTTCATGGTCAGTGTCCATTCTTAATTGGCTATATCCCCATCAGGTGATGGATAAATCACCATCTAATGATGATTAATAAATAATTACGTATATATATATATAGATGATTTTTTTTTAACTAATGACGTAGAATATGGTAATTTTCAATCATCATCTCATTTTTTGAAAATCTTTGGCATTTCCATATTCTATCTATTCCAGGATGACAATGTATATATATATATAGTCATATATATATATCATGATTATCATAGTAGATTGACCAGCTCGAATGGGCAAGATGAGATACACCAGCTACTACATATATACATATATACATATATACATATATATGGTAGATATGGATATTATGTTGGTTTGCATGGTTATACTGACAAATACTGATGGCTTTGATGGGCGCGGTTGACCTGAAAGTGGCACTCCTTTCCAGAGCTGTTTGAAGGGACATTTTGCTGGGTTTCCCCTATACTTGTGGCTAGGAAAACATATGATTTTCTGCAGATTTTCCTGAAAACCACTCCATGAATCAGCTGTTTCACCTGATTTTGATGTGTGTTTTGCAAGTCTCCGAGGCGCGAAAGTTCAGTGGCCACTGTGGCCATTGGTCAAGTTAGTCAATGAATTCGTTTGAGCAGTGGCTGCTAACCCCTTGTGGTTGACTGGTATAGTGGTTCATTTTGGGGGATAATTTTCGAGCCTTCATAAATAGGAGTTTGATCACAATCCAGCTGGGAATCCCTGGAGAAACGATGGACTCACTGGTACGAGTTGGTTGATTGATAGGTTTCCCTATGAATTATCATAATTTCCAATGAATTACGTCGTATACCCTCTGGTAAACTAACAGTTTGCGACATAGAAAATGGCCCAGTCGAAATAGTTGATTTACCCAGCCATAACATGGTGATTTTCCATCGTTTTTTGGGACTGTTTACCAGAGGGCAAGTCCCCAGAATTTCACCCATGGAGACCCCCACGACGGTCCACGCCGGTATCTGCCAGGCTGTCCGTGTGGGGCCTGGACTGCTACAACCGGTGCCATGGCTATGCCAGGAATCAATGGATGAAAACAATTATGGTTAGCCAGTTCTACATGGGGTAGTAATAGGGACTAAAAACCATTAAATAAGCCAGTGATGCATGGGATATAAGAAAGTAATAGAAACTATGATAAGCGCTTTATTCAGTGGTTAGCAACTAGGGGTTGCATGTAGTAACTGGTTGACAAATTGGTTACAATCCACCACCAATAGTCTGGTTGGTGGTTTCACACATTTTTTATTTTCCATAATATATTGGATAATCCTTCCCATTGACTAATATATAATATTTTCGCAGATGGTAAAAACCACCAATCAGTACCATCTGGTTATTTAACATAGCCATGGAAAATCCCTTATAAATGGAGGTATCCATGGGAAAATCATCTATAAATGAGCCATTTCCCATGGCTATGTTAAATAACCAGAGGGTAATCCTTTTATGAATGGGATCACGAAGAAAGGGGACAGACCGACGGACCGTGGGATGATCCTCCAGTCGCACACATCTAATCTACCAGGATTTTTGGGTCATTTCTCAGATCGCGAACCATGAAGTTACCAGAGCTTCGCCATATTAGAACTTAACCCAATTATTGCTTATTATATATATACATATACATACATATATATATATATATATATGGGTTGAACTCGGTTGAAACAAATGGCGTAAAAAAACTTCTTCGCATTCCTTTCGCTCGGCCTTTCGCCCAAAACATGGCGCCAGAGAGCAGTAGCTGCGTTGGAACCATGGAATTTTATGACTTTCCATTCAGTTGGGAGTGTCATCATCCCAACTGACTTTCACTCCATGATTTTTCAGAGTAGGTTGAAACCACCAACCAGTGAATATACCCTCTGGTAAAGTAACATAACTATGGAAAATCACCACTTTTACTGTAATGGGTAGTTATCAACTATTTCGACTGGGCCATTTTCTATGTCGCAAACTCTTAGTTTACTGGAGGGTTTTGAGCTGGATGATCATACTTCATCAGAATTCAACTGGGAATCTGCTGAATTCCCTTCTTGACCAAGCATTTTTTGTCACGTTTTTTTGTGAATTTTCAGATCACTGCTCATATCCCATGACGGATCCATGGTGCTGGTATATATGCTAACAATTTTATGGGGTCTATTGATGGGATCCATGGAGCACCATATATAGCAGCACCATGGATCCTATGGGTATGGATTATGGCTCTGGGGCACGAAAGGTGTTTCGTGGTTTTGTCTTGACTAATCCTCCAAATACGCCAATTCCAACCATCCATTATCATATGGAGACTCCACATAATTTGGTATGGAATATCCTTGAAGCTACTCTAGTTTTGTCGAAATCAGCTAGTGACCAACCCCTGATCCTGATTTTTGTTGGATCATTCCAAACAAAGAATTGAACAGTAATCTTCCCATCTTGACGGAGTGGAAAATCAAAGAAACAAGATGAAACAAGTGCTATTCAAGCCACGCTGACAGGATCCGACAGGATCCGACAGGTAAGTCGCCCTATCCCCACTTTCCCGGCTACAAGCCAATGGTTGGCGATTGATCTTAGGGTAGCTGGCCAGTGATGAAAATCCCTCAGCAGCCAACCAGCTTCAACATCGATCAGTCCTACTGAGACGATTTTACTGAACTTCAGATTCATGGTTCATAAGAAGGGTATACAGCCCCATAGAATGTGCCATATAGTTGTTTGATGTGGTGGAACTTCCACTCTGAGTTTTCTTTAATAAATGAAAATACTGTAGTACCCCGCAAAGGATCAACAGCCAGCCAGGGTTGCGTCAAAAAAGTGCTTGTGTTTTTTTTTTTCGATCCGACCTCCAAGTTAAACAAGAACATACATAATTCAACATATATATATATAACATGATATAACTCAAAACACTAACATTTAAACGAAAAACAAACCAACAACAAAAAGGAGGACAACAAAAAATGTGCTATAGATCTCTTCCATCCCATCCCCGGCCCATCTTTTCCAGCCCTCCGAAACCATGGTTTCATATGGGGATTTACACACATTGGCTACGACTTTTTTGGTGTTGAAAGTTTAGGGGATGGGAATCCTCTAGATATTTTTTCATGAAATATCTCCTGAAATAATCCGTTTAATAATGAATATTATCATCACACAACTAGCAATGGGATCATACTCATTATCATTATAATCACTATTAACCATCATTGATCATTATTAATCATTATTGATCATTATATTCGTTATTAATCATTATTGATCATTGTAATAATCACTCATTATAATCCCATTAATACTCCCACTTGTGTGGGTAAAACAATGCCATAATCCATCCCCCAGTCATCACCATTTTTATAGGTGATAATCCAACCATTCCCAGTCATGGGTGGTTTAATTTGTATTGTTTTACCCACATAAATTAAAAACATAATATACTAATGATATCTATAATGTATTTATATATTTCCCATATGCTCCATGGTATATTTACCTACAAAACTGGGTGATTGTTAGAAAAAGGTGATTAAATAACTTATTCTACAATCGTTATAATCATCACTGACCCAATAGTAATCCCATTAATCATCCCATTTAATAGTATCGTTATAATCCCATTAATACTCCCATGAATGTGGGTTGTTTAATAAAAATGGTTTATAATCCCATCAATTCTCCCATTAATACTCCTTTATAATCCCAGTAATACACCCATTGTTAAAGAAAGGTGATTGATAACTTATTCTATCATCATTATAATCATCACTGACCCATTAATAATCCCATTAGTCATCCCATTTAATAGTCCCGTTAATGCGGGTTGTTTAATAAACATGGTTTATAATCCCATTATTACTCCCATTTTTTCGAGGGGTGTTTAATGGTTGTGTAATAGTTCTTTAATCAATGGCCATTTCAGGATCCTAGATTGGAGGTACCTATCATATAGAAGGCCTATTTTTTAGGCCTAAATTTCAGGGAGTATCCCCACAAAATATGGCCTTATATGATAATATATGATATGGTACTAATGTACCTCCATTTTAGGATCCTTGAATTCCAAGATGAACATCCCCCCAAGATGAATATACCCTGGTTATGACTAACAGTTTGCCATGGTATAGATGGCCCATAGAAATAGATGCTTTGCCGAACTTAATAGCATGGTGGATCTTTCCATGGCGAACTGTTAGTCATAACCAGATGGTCAATTCTGAAAAAAAATGAATCTGGACTTCATGACTGTATAACAGTCTGTATATGTAAACATCCACCCTTTCCCAGCGCACCCGGCCCCGGTTTAGGAGCTGCCCGACGTTTCTGGACCTGCGACGGCGGCAACAGGTGGAGTCTGCAGCCTTCATGTCCAAGGCCGAGAGTTTTCTGAGGAAATCGTTAGGAAATCGTTAGTTTTCTGGTGATTAATGGTGATTTTCCATGGGATTTCATGGTGGTTTAATGGGATCTAATGGTGATTCATGGAGGTTTAACCTTTGGTAAACAGTCCCAAAAAACGATGGAAAGATCCACCATTTTCAGTGGGTAAATCCACTATTTCTATGGCCATTTTTAATTAGCAAACCGTTAGTTTACCAGACGGTATATGGTTTCTATATCCCATAGGATCCATGGTGCTGCTATATATGGTAACATGGATCCCATCAATATACACTATTTATGTTAGCATATATACCAGCACCATGGATCCTATGGGTATAGATGTTCTACAATTTATGGTTTCTGTTGGGTTTCCATAAATGGTGGTACCCCAAAATAAATGGTTTCTATATAATGGAAACTCCTATTAGAATGGATGATTTGGAGGTACCTCCATTTCAGGAAACCCCCATATGGTTTCTATATAGGAGTTCTATAATAATGGTTTCTGTATAGGGTATATTATATATATGCACAGATTCCATACATGGGTTCTATATGGCTTAACAAAGTTAAATTCTTGTTGTTTGTCTCCATGGCATGGAATGTCGTTGATCGAATGGTTTCTATATGGGAATCAAGAATGATAAATGGTGTTTGAATGGGGAATTGGGTTTGATGGTGGTTAATATGGATATGAGCTGGGTGTGTTTAAAACTTGCATGTGTAAGGAACATGTTCTTCTGAAAGGAACCCTTATATGCGATATCTCATGAGGACATTTTATTGGAAACATGATTTCATTATATTTAATGGGATATGAGATATCTAAGAAACATTATTATGTAATATTATGTACGGGTATGGGTGTGTCTAACGGGGGATAAAATGGCCAAAATTGCCGAACTAACTCAAGGGATTCAGCAACCCGTAGCAATGTGGGGCAGCGCAATTTTGCCAATTGAGGGCTTATGAAAAAATATGGAGCATCCGTACAAATGAGGTCGACCCAAAATATTAGATCTGTAAGATCTGGAAGATATGTAATTTGATGAATTGCCTTTGTCTCAAACTTTAGCACACCCAACCCCCACAGCTAAGTTGCCAGCTCTTAACTTGTTAGAGATAAAGCCAAGCGGAGTTTTAGAGAAGCTGGAAGACTTGTATTCGGAAGTGTCGCGATGTGTTATGCATAAAATGCATACACGGTGATTTTCTATGGTTATTTGATATGTTCTTTGTATAGTTATATATATATATATAGTTACTCTATATATATATTCCATATTAGTTAACATTGCTACACAATAACATCATCTTTTGAGATATTTGATATGTACTAGCCATACTATGAGTCAAAACGAGTCACGGCTGGAATCCGCGGGCCTAAAATGTTGACCGTAAATTGAAAGCCAAATCATCCATTTAAGGAGAGAGACCCAATCTCAAACATCTAATATGTAAGATACATGAATTAATAATCATATGTAATATACATTCAAATATAATCATATGTATACATGAAATAATACAGTTACATATCACTATGATCTGTTTCTAAAAATATATTCCGTGGCTGATTTTTCCATCTCCGCATGAGGTCCCCATGTATTTCTGAAAGCCACATCTTCAGGTGGGCACCAGACACGCCTCCGGACAAGTGGATGCAGATCGGCTCCTAAATCAACTGGCCACCAACAAGAGCCTCTTCCAACGTCTCATGTCTGCGTGCGTTTTGGGGGAACGAAGAAAATTCATGGGGAAGAAATGTAAGAAACATAGAGGATTTCACTGATTTAACCAAATATGATGGAATGATCGACCACAAAGAAAGTACAGCAAATATGTTTCTAGCTCTTGTTGGGGTTGCTAAAAACGTGCAGGAGGTTGGCAAACGTCCCGTTTTATTTTCATAGATCACCATCATTGATAGTTGTTGGAGATTCTCCTAGGTAGTGCCAAACTGATATGTCACTGGGACATGTGTTGTTCCCTGCATACAGTATGGTTATGATATATACTAATTATATACTCCTTTGGACCTTTGGAACACATAACTCCATGTTTGTTTAGAGGATTCACATTTTGTGGGCCATGAGTTCTTGAGGCTTCAATTTCCCCAAAAACCTGATAAGTCAATTCGCAATTTTTGATCGTTAAGTCATGTCGAATCAGAAGTTTTGATGGTGAAATCACCGACCCAACATCCATTGGTTCATCATCACCATTCCCAGCCACGACGAATCTATGGTTTCTGGTGGTTCAACCACCAGTTTCTATAGAAACGATCATCTCCTCCGTTGAAATCCTAAGTTGTTTTTGCTGAAATCACCATGTTGCTTAAGTCACCAATGTTGGAGGCAGAGTTGAATCACCATTTGGTTGAATCCGATAATATTTATATATATATATATAAATAATAATAATGATAATAATAATAGTATATATATGATATCCAGGAGCGAGTACCCTCTGTTAATCAAAGCTGGACAAATTCCACTTGGCGTTGGGGATACAACCCAGACCATGGCCCGATACAGCAGTTTTGCTAGTCGCTAGTCATGATCAGAGGGCATCATGTATACACATAATTTACATCTTCAAGCGTCTTAAAACATTTGACATGCACCATTTTTGGAGCCAAAATCACCGGTGGGTTCACTCACTCAGCCACGATTTCTTGCGGCGCCCTGATCTGCGTCCGGCGTCCGAGGCGAGATGGACGCGCACAAAGAGTGTCAAACTCTGCGCGAACATTCACCGCCTGGAACTCCCAAGAACCAGCCCGACCTGGATGACGACGTCATGCTGAAATGAGGCTCCTAAGCGCCGCTCCAAGCCGCGCCGCTCCACAGGGTCCTCAAGAGCGATCGTTTCTGAAGATGATGGCTAATCCATGCTCATCAGCTTTTAACAAATGTTTATGTTCAGAGAAAACCATAATGACACTGACCTTTTTTTTTTTCGGAAAGGTCTTCGTATATTTCAAATCGAGGGGCTGAAGGAGATAACGTTGAAGCTTTGTCAGCTGTCTGCTTCAGCAGACGACTCGTCACTCTTGAGGGCAACCTGACTGCAAGAACAGCACAGCTGAAGAGCTCGGAAGAAGCGTGGCCCCTTCACCAAACCATGAGAACTGGAGTCTTAGTCATGTTTTGAGGAAACAACATAATAGACAAATTAGATTATATGTTTTATTTTTCTGAACGATTTTAAGGCATTGTTAAGATTTGAAATCTCGTTCAATCCCCGTGAGTAGTGGTTTCCGTGTACCTCTGTAGAATCCATCCCATGTTTATTGGGGATGACTTGGATGCTCGCAACACTTCAATAACTTAATTCATTTAGGATTCTTACCCTGTGGTAAACATACAAAAAACTATGGAAAATCACAATGTTTAATGCGTAAATCAACCATAAATGGCAATATTCAATAGCAAACTGTTAGTTTACCGGAGGGTATGTGTTGCGCCAGCCATTCTTCAGAATGTCATTCAACATTTCCACAACGGTTTCACCCGGAGAATTTCCGCTACCACTTGGGCCTGAAGAGCGGCGCCCCTGTGCTGTTACGAAGAAAAGTCCCGCAGCTGGACAGCCTCGTTGTTTGGAACTGTGGGTGATGGCCTTGGGATCATAGATGGGTTGAACGGTTGAATGGGATGGGACTTGGGAGAAGCCACTTGCCGTAGATCATTTTGGATTAAGCCACGTGTCGTCCGACGGGCCGACGGGCGCTGAAGTTTGCTTCCCCAAGCGGACCAAGCATTTCCTCTCAATTCTCCCAGAACAAAAGAAAACTCCAGCCATCCAGAACTTATTTTCACTACCCCTTTGGCTGGAAATCTAGACTAGACCATGTGTTGGATGAAACCAGGCTTGGATTTCGGGCACCACAATGTTTAGCTCCAAAAAATATTGGGCAAAGACAGACTTTGCGCTCTGCGCTACGTCGTCATGGCCGCATGTGCTAGGCGAGGGGGAGTAGTTGCCCGTGTTGGTGTTCACCTCAATAGCTGGTGTGAACTAAGCCGCTTACGATTGGATTGATTATTAATATACTTGGATCCTGAAGTTCATCAATGATCGCCCTATGTCGTTTGTACACATGTTGAATTTGGGTGATGTTTTCTTGCGACCTCTCAGCGTTTGTTTTGCAGGGCGAGTAGGGAGAACTAGCCTAGAATTGGGCCAACTCAAGATATGTGAGCGCCATGGTTTCAACTCAAGATATCTGTGGAAAAAAACCAACGATCTTTTGCAACCTGGATCATTCAATTGGTTTCAAAGGAATTGACGGATGCAAAAATTGGAGGGGGAACCATGCTATGGTTTCTCATCACTTTCGGTGTTTGTTTGATTACCATTCAAATGGGTCGCTCTCATTTTCAAAACCCGAAAGATCATCGATCTGGGGGAGGATTTGATTCAACGTCTCACTTTTTTGGTAGATGCTGGGCTGCAGCCATACAGACCTTGCACGAGCTGAGTTCGAACGTCTCAAGAAGCTGCCAGAAATTTCCCGTCGATTCCTCATGGATTAAAACCGATAAAAGCCATCCAAATAGATGACGCACACACACACAATTTCCAGGGCTTCTTAGGCAAATCTGTCATGATTTATGTATATTTATGTTTTGTTTTAGGTTACAACCCAAGAAATCACGTCGAATTTAACAAGCAATGGAGGTGTGTTTCTTAGCATCTGGTGAGAGAGCTGCCGTGCTTGATGCAGCTGAGTTCGAAGGAAAATCCGCCAAGGCAGTGAAGCAAGCCTTGGCAGCTAAGATTGGTGCAACGAGGTTCAGACAAAGGCTCTTTCTGGACGGTGAGGCTGCTGAGATCTCAGATGATGAGGTTTTTGCCTCCGCGCCTGTCAAGCTTCAGCTGGTGGTCTTGGAATTTTGCCCACCAGATGTCGCAGAAGACATGCAGATGATGTCTGCAGCAAGAAGAAACGATGCAGATGCTCTTGAGACGTTGCTCAAGTGCCCCCGAAGTCCGAACACAAGTTGGGGCATGATACCTTTGGTCGAGGCAGCAGAGCACGGACATGTTGAGCCCATGCGGCTGTTGCTGGAGGCATGCGCAGAGATAGATCCACAATCGAAACAACCAGCGTTCGCCACCTTGCACGTGGCAGCTCGCAATGGCCACGTTGGGGCTGTTCGTTTCCTGCCTGAAACTGACATGACCCCCTTGCACAAGGCAGCTCGCAATGGCCACCTTGAGGCAGTGCGTTTTCTGGTTCAGAACAGTGCACAGAAAGATCTGACTGATGCCATAGGGCGAACCCCATTAGGCCTTGCAGTTTTAAATGGCCGTGTCGACATTGCCCGCTTTCTTGTGGAGGAGGGAGCCAACAAGGATGAGCTCTTCAACAAACTCAATGGGACTACTGCTCTGAATATAAAAGCGGAAGGCGGCGATTTGAACATGGTCCGTTTCCTGCTTGATACCGGCTGTGACAAAGACGCGGCTGATGGTTTTGGAGCAACACCGCTGCATCGAGCAGCTCAAAGAGGCCACTTAGACATTGTCTGCTTTCTTGTGGAGTCTGGTGCCTGTCGTCACTCAACTGACAAAGATGGAAAGACTGCTTTGGATCTTGCATCCGACAGCGGCCATGCCGAAGTGGTTCGCTTTTTGTCTGAGTTCGAGGCAGAATCCCCCTCAAGGAAAGTCCAACGGGTCGACAGTGACAGACTTGGACAGCGCCTAAAACTTGCGGCCTGAAGCGCTAAAGGCCGCTAAAGGGGATGAGTTGGCAATAGTGCCTCTTTCCAACACTGCATCTGATTGGTGGTTTCAAACATGAATTTTATTTTTCATAATACAATATATTGGGATAATCCGGAACCCAGTGACTTTCATATTTTTCAGAGGGGTAGGTCAACCACCAACCAGTGCATGAATCCAGTGTTTCTTTATGATTTGTGATTTCTATACTCTTGGCCAACCCTAAGGATTTATCATGGACAGGATTTTTCTGTTAAGTGGCAGTTCGTTTTTTCTTGCCAGGGAACCACTGACCATGTGGCTGATTTCTGGTTACCCGACATATTCATACATATTCGATGATGGATGCAATAGTGGTCTACTTTGTTGGTTGATTTCCGGTGACTCTTACAAACTGTGCATAGCTTTTTAACTTCATATTTGTTGATGAATCTGGTGCTTATCATTGTTGATTAAAGATGATTAAAGTCTGAGTTGCCTTCCAATAAATCAACATACATTTGTCATCGTTTGTCAATTTCCTTGGGCTCCCCGGCTTCTCCAGCGTCCACATCTTGCAAGGCCACTGACGGGTACTGATTCAAGTCGTGGCGGTCAAGTTGTGAATGAGTCGCAACGGTACATGTAAGGTTTATATACCATCTGGTTATTTGACATAGCCATAGAAAATCACCATTTTTAATAGGTAAACCATCTATAAATGAACCATGTTCCATGGCTATGTTGTTAAATAACCAGAGGGTAGGTTTATGAACTCATTTACTGTAATTTACAAATTCTTATCTTGGGTCATACTAAAAAAACAGAACTGGTATACGGCTATGAAGTTATGATGTTATGTTTGATTTTTATTTGAGCCCTTTCTAAGCCTCAGTCTGATCAAATGACACCAGATCCCAGGTTTCCCTGGGTTCCACTGGTTCTCATCACTCAGTGGGAGATGCACATCTATCACTTACCCTCCGGTAAACTAACAGTTTGCTATGGAACATCACCATTTTTAATGGGTAAATCAACTATTTCTATGGCCATTTTCAATAGCTATGTTTGTTTACCAGAGGGTAAACATGGGCTTTTCAGAACTCACCCATTCTTGACACATGATGAACCACCCCTGCAAAGTGGCAATTTCCCGTATGTGCATCATTTTGGGCCCAGTATAGTTTTCTTGAAACATGGCAATATGTGGGTTTGTATGAAAGGGGTTCTCCCTAAATCCATCGGTCCTTTTCAATTTTCTCTATCAGCATGACCATAAGTTGGCGCTGCCACTACAAAATCATACAAAATCCCTATTTCTAGACAGACTATTAGAATCTATTATGTAGATATACATTAGATATACATTATATATATACTGGTTGGTGGTTTGGAACATGAATTTTATTTTTCCATATACTGGGAATGTCATACTCCCAACTGACTTTCACTCCAACATTTTTCAGAGGGGTAGGTATACCACCAACCAGTATGATTCCTATTATATTCCTATTATATTCCTATTATATTCCTATGATATTCGGTCGCTATATATATATATACCATAACTGAGGGGTAGGTATACCACCAACCAGTACATTATATATATATATATATATATACCACATTACATATGGTGCATCCCACTGGACGTCGCTGGTACCTGGGGATGGCTGGATGGCGAGGCCTCTACTCTGGCGCCAGGTGTGGATTCCTTGGGAAACAGCTGAGTTTGTGGGGATTCAACCTGCCACATGGTGATTTCAGGGGGATTTCACATACGAAATGGCTGGTATAAGTCGGGGTTTCACATGAAGCAATTGTAATTATAAGTATATATATATATATCACATTGAATGGGAATTTGATGCGGATTCAGTGCGAATGTTTTAGGTGGTTCAATGGGGACAAAATACAAACAGAATGGGATAGATCAGCCCAAAATTGTCACTCTGATGAGGAAGATGATGGATAGTCTATTGGAATTTGGCATTTTTACCTAAGCCCTAAGAGACAAAGCCATAGCTGATGATTTTTCAGCTGACTGAGGCCACTATGACAAATCTTATATGGCCAGAATTTATTCCTTCCTTTATAGCTGGGAACATCATTTATATATGATTATATGAATGAAGGATTTTCCAGCAAGCCATGTTTGATAACCGGAAGGTCATCGGATGTAACTTGATCTAAACAGTCATGAGATGTCATGACGAAAAAGCGCATATGTTTATGATGATTTGAGCAACAATAATGGTGATTTAAGCACTACAATTGGGTTTTTCTCAGCAAAGAAATCGGGATGTCTTGAGCGCGTCCGGGTGGCTGGGTGGCTGCCGGTTGCCCGGTAGGGATCCGGTAGGAGTGCTGATTGCTGTATCTTACGAGTGAAAAAAACTGCACTGGATCAACAAGGATCCATATGGCTATGCGTTGAAAATGGTACCCTCTGGTAAACTAACAGTTTGCTATGGAACATCACCATTTTTAATGGGTAAATCAACTATTTCTATGGCCATTTTCAATAGCTACGTTAAATTACCAGAGGGTGTTTTATTCTTCTCAACTTGTGTGAAATTTAATCTTCAGAGCTTCACAAGCAGAGGATGCTTGTTGGAGACCCAGCTTAAACCAGACCTAGGCATCACAGAATCGGCGAGAACTGACTTTGTCAAAAGTTGTCTTAAGCTGTCTTAATCTTTTTGAGGACTACGGATTACATCGGATTACGAAACATGTATCATTATGTATCATTATGTATCATTATGATTCATTATGTATCATTATGTATGATTATGTATCATTATGTATCATTATGATTCATGATGTATCATTATGTAGCATTATGTATCATTATGTATCATTATGTATCATTATGTATTATTATGTATCATTATGTATCATTATGTATCATTATCTATCATTATGTATCATTATGTATCATTATGTATCATTATGTATCATTATGTATCATATGATGTTGTAACCAGATGTAACCAGATGTGATAAACCCACATGTTTTGCCCTATTTTTTCAGCATTCCCGACCGGCCAATACCACGGTGATCCACAGATGATTTTCCCAGCTATAAACACGTTTGATGACTCCAGGCAATGTTGTGGCGATGTTAATGTTTTGAACCATACTCATCTGGTAACATCCCCACCAGAAGTAGTGGTTTCTCCACTACTTTTGGCTAAATCACCAAAGCATCATTCTTTTGAACATGGCACATCTCAATTCCACTTTAAAGGGGTTGAGGCTCAAACATTCGTGGCAGAACTCAATCAATTGTCAGCGGGATGATTCCCTGTAATCCCCTCGAATGTAAAACGTATTAAACGCACCCATATTGACAAGCGTATCCGTTGCAGATCCAAACCAGGTTTTCTGGGGAGGTATTTCTTTGATAGGGGGAAGGGATTCCTACCAGTGTTGTGAGGTC